CTGCCATACCCTAAACTGGCCCCCGTGCTGGTCCAGCTCTTCTACCGCATGACCCATTGTAGGGGTGCATACACGCACGTGTTGGGGTGTATACATATCAACTACATTTTGAACGGATCTCCCGTTAAAGACAACTTTCACAAAGAGCATAAAATAAACCATTTTAGTCTAGCTCTAAATCCTGTGTAACACCGAGCTGACCTGTAAATTGGCAACCTTTCAGGCCACGGCTGTTGTCGTGGTAACATGATGTAGAGGGCAAAGAAATCATGCGCTTATTCCGAGCCGGATCGACAGGTAGGGATCACAGCGTTGGTTAGGCCAGAGGGAATTTTTTGCCATACCAAACCCTCTGTCTGTAGTCAACGTTATTTTAGAGGGATGCTGAAAGGGAATACAATGCACAAAAGTTTATTTTTACTTTGTGGACGCGGACGTAGTCTACTCCTCAAAACAAGAAACCAAAAACCATTTTCTCGCATAGGGCGAAGTCATCAGGTTTGTCCAGTTCTTCTCCCAATTAATTATGTAGTCTGCCTTTGAAGTCGCAACTAAGTAGCAGATTTCGGAAAGTTGAGCGTAAGCGCCATTCAGCTGCCTTCGAGTAACCGATGTCTTTGAAACGTCCCGTTTGTCCACTGTTAAAATTTCCTCTAACACTGTATTGATTCAGCAGCTTTAGAAGACATTTAAAGTCGTGCATGGTATATCCACTGCGGCACAGTAGCATTGTTTGCTGGCGCCAGACGCAACCGATTGCTGTAGACTATGGTAGACGTGCCCTCCTCCCACCTGCAGCATTATTCGCCACCCTCTTTGCGTGTTTACCGCTGACTTACATTTTGGCTGTTAGTAGGGAATTGTTCGTCTCGTCCACTTTGACCCCCCCTCCCCCTCCAAACAAGTCTAACCAGCGTTTTAGCCATGTATTTCGGGTTGTATAAGAGTGCGATCAAACCGTAGCTCCCAGCGCAGTGGTTGCGTAGGTCGAATTAGTTGAGTATGAGCTCGTGTAGTACCCAACTCCGGAGGTGGACGTCTCATCCCTCTCCAATGACACACCACTTTAAAGGTTCCAGGTTTGTACCACGCAGTGGGGGAAGTCTGGTTTGATGGGGGGCCACATTAGTTATGTGGTAGTTCCATTGACTTTTTGACTAATCCAAAGCCATCCGCACTTGTGTCGCTACAATGGGCTACATGGTAGGTGCGCTAAACCAAGGCTTGTGCCATATCAGGACACGGCCGACATTTTTAGGATGCACACCCATAATAAATCTCACATATAGAAGTGACTGTGGTG